ATCAATTCATTGATTAGTAAAGAAGAAATATATTTGCACACCACCAAAAGGTCTACAGACTTGTCGGGGAGGGATGTGAAGATATATTGATCATTTCCTGTGGAATAAATGGCTGCTCCCACTTAGAGAGCCGATCTTTAATATTCTCCTCCGTTCCTCATTACAGTAACACACCAAAACCAGAAAACAGCCTCAAAAAATAAACAGGTACACTCTTAATTATGGAGACTGGATCCCACAGATCAATTATATAAAATGCTAGTTGGATCACCTGAAATTATACTGCCTAAAAAACCCTAATAAGACCCTTTTGCCACCTTACTGCATTCTCAGGCATGGTTTAAACCGTGACCTCGTCTCTTAACCCGGTCACTGCATAGACTGCCCGAATCCACTCACCCACATGCAGCAGAATTCAACCTGTGCACTGCCCCCCCACAAACACATATGCATTCATCACACCAGCCAGTTAGTGGGCAATAGCCCTTCCTTTTGCCTTCCAGGAACCAAGTGTCATTTGTCCCCTCTCCTTCCACACACCTGTGTCCATCAGCAGTCCCACCAGCCCTTAGGGACAAGTATATTGCTCCTTGTGTTAACTATTCTGGGCTTTTCTTTTTAAAAAATTTAAGGATAGAACTCTAACTACAAATTCATAAAGGAAAAATAGGGTTAAAGGGGTGTCTTTCTCACCATTATGACCACCACCTTTTCAGTGCCAGGGACGAAAGGAAACTGTACGGGGGAGGGGGTGCTTATTCTAAATTAACAAATGAGGTACAAGATCTTTTCTGTTCCGGTCTTTCTATATTTAACAAAATCCAGAATCGACTCTTTTGGGTGGGTTTTTTTTTTTTAACCAAACCCCGGTCTCTTGCATGTCACATTTATCCTGAAATATTAAAAATTACCTCAGAGAGCTCTTTTAGGAGAACAAGGAAAGTATGGCTGAAAGCATCCACTAATATTAAGGTCCAGTTGAGAGAAGGCTGCCCTGAGGACTGGCAGATCTGAACCTTGGTCCTTTTTCTGCTCTAAACTCCCTGTATCATCTTGAGCAACGCTCTACTACACCAGACTCAGTTTCCCATCCCTAAAATAAAAACCAGAATCACTATTGCCTGTTTCTGAGAGAATGAATTAAAGAGATAGCAATGCATTTTGCTTGTGAGAAGCACTAATGCCAACCAGTGGCAAGATGACACTGGTTTCCGGCAGGAGGATAATCCTGCATGCTTTACACTTTTGAGCCGTTCGCTTACTCGCAGGCTGGCTTGAGTCAAGCAATGCAAATGGCTGGAGTTCAGGAAGAGAGCGACAACATACAGAACAAAAGCTTTACTTCTTCTTGCAAATGCTTGTCACATTTTGGACCCAGCAATCTATTTGGTACCCCCTTGCTGCTCCCCACTCCCCACCCCACTTAATTCTTGCTTGACAGACACTGTGTTTTGTCTTCTAAACAGAGACGTTCGATATGTAAATACCGTGTTACATCATCGAAGGGTTACTCCATATTTGGTGATTTAGCATGCCTGCAGTACACAGAAGATCAGAAATCCCTTCCGGCAGGCGCCTGCTTCACTAATCATACCTCCTTCCCTCTCAGAACGTGGACGGCACGTGACATAACGGTCACTGCTGTACGTTTAGGCTGCAGTCGCTCAGCCTACACGCTATAGATAAGTTAATAAGGCTGCAGTTTTCATTATTTTAAATGTAGCATGCTGCTTTTTATAATACACATAAAATACTACCTTATTTATCTAAGTGACCAAGAGGATCAAAATAATCAGAAGTTTGGACAAACAGGAGCACTGCTTTCTTAGAGTAACTTGGACACAGAATTATGCTGAGGATTGTGGTATTCGAAATGTATACACAGAGATCTACATACATTCAGACAAGCAGTTATATAAAATAGATAATACAGGTCCATGGAAACTTCAGTATAAAGTTTAGGGGAAACAGTCTGCAATTTACAGTCATATGAATGAAGGGGCTACACAAGACATAGAAGTGGAACTAAAATAGTTAAGAGTTGGCAGTAAGTCAGTGTGAAATTCAGAACAAGTGGAGAATTACCTCTTAGTGGGCCATCTGATTTTCAAAATAGTGGATGGAGGCTTTTTTTCTTTTTTTTAGTTTCACAGAACTCTTTTTCAGACACAGATATTAAAAGCAAAAACTTAAATTCCAGGGGGAAAGAGGGTCAATGTTTATCCTGGTTCTGCATCATCTTTTCTGTTTTGATATGTTGCTTTTAACACCTACAGAATCCTGTCAAATCTGAAAGCTCTTATCCAGTTGAGTCAGAAAAAGATGTCCTCTAGCTTGTTCTATATGGTAGTTTTCTCCAAAGAACCAACAGCATGAAAAGATTTAGATATGCACAGGGGCATGGAAATGCTACTAAAGACATGGACAAAATCTCTCTACAGGAAAAAAATTATGGGTGTGGTGGTGTATCTCACACACACACACACACATGCGTGCTCTTAGCATTAAAACTTCACCCAAATGCAAAATTCCTCAGAACTGCAAATGCAGCAAATTAAAATTTGGATCTGAGCACTGCTTCTGGGTCTGGCATTCATTTGCAAGTATATCCCTTCTTTGTGTTCTAACTGCTAATGCTTTTCTAAGGATCCCATTCTCTGTGATCAAAAATTGCATTTTCGGCACTGAAATTTGCACACTGTCTTGTACATTTCACTCCCTGCAAAATCCCTTCACCCTGCACAATCCACCGGCAGGCTGACAGGCCTGAATTCAAACCCAAATGTCAAAAGCCTGCACTCACAAATTCCCCAAAAAAACCCACCAAAAAAATTGTAGTTCAATTTAATGCTTCAATCTCATGTCACACTATACGAAAGTGTGCTCTCTCTCAGTCTCACACACAAACACACACAATGCAACAACACCCTCCCAAAGATACACATGCAAAGTGGATTTTAATTACTGTATAGGAGGTTAGAAAGGAAAAAGCCTGTTAGTCCCTACAGCTGCCATAGGAAGTAAGTCCCAGACCACATTTTGCTCCAGATCTACCAGCATTGACAAGGTTGTGCCAGTTTATGTGGCCTGTGAATTGCTCTCTTATTTCAGTGTGTGTGTGTGTGTGTATGTGATATATATCTATCTAGATAGATAGATATAGGCAAGACAACATGTGACTTACATACTGTGCTCCTTTTAATGCTGTAACATCCCTGAGGCTGTTCAAACAATAGCCCAAGTGACACTTTATGCAAAACTGCTCTGGCCTTCCCTCATGCTTTTATCGGATGCGTATGTCGACTGGGAGGCTGCATATTTTTCAAGCACTACTGAAGGCCAAGAGATGCTGTTCCCATTTCGCCATCTGGATCCTAACAACTAAAACAGGCCTTATTAGCCAAACAGACCTATCCACGTTTGTATTAACTTCAAACGTCTTTTCGCCTCGATTTAAAACACGGCAGCACACTGCAGCGTCTTGCCAGTAATTAAAAGTGGGGGGAGAGAAAAAGCGATTAACTGCAGGGAACGGCACCCGTTACATTTTATTTTTTTCCCTTAAATTACACGTTCAGATCGTTCGCATGCCCGAAAAGCCAACCCACCTCGGACATTTGTATGGGTGACATGTGGCAGTGTAAAGCCACAGAAGAAAATCAAGATACATCTGTCAAAACCACATCAGAGACAAGAGACAGCGGGGGGGGGGGAAGCATTTATCATTTGGCTGAGGAGGCAGGATTGCAGAAAGCAGCCTCCTCCTCTGTCAAACCAACCTTTTGAAATCTCCAGCATGCCCTTAAACTTTTCCAGGAAGCAGGCCTGTGCGCTTCAGCAACTGCCCTCTCTACTCTGGCCTGGGCAGTGGAAAATGGCATCTGAAAGTCAAGGTCAGCTGTGTCACTTCGCCAAGGGGCTGCCTTTAATTACAACCCACGCAGTGACAGCCAATATGGATCGGAGGCTGGGTGATGTTAACCCTTCCTCCCCACCCCCAGCCCCTTCTCGAGTTTGCAAGAAATAATAATTAAAAGGGGGGGGGGAACCCAGAGAGACTATGCAGCCAGTTCGAGCAGTCAAGGGTGCTGCTAAGACTCAAATTTTGGAGTGAAGGCACTTGATGCTGCAGAATTAATTGTGTGCATGGACCGTTTTGTAAGACGTGCGTCTGCATGTTTGGGGAGTGGGTTCCATGCTGCTGGACTTCTTGTCTGCTCTGACAAGCCGGCACTAATGAAGCTCAGGCTTAAGAGAGGACCCAAAGCAGAAACCTTTTCTGGCTCTGCCGCTTGAAGGGGAATTCAGTGGACCTCTAAGCCCAAAGAACCACGAGCAGGACTTGAACTGGAGAGAGGGCTGGGTTCATGGCCCACATTTGCTGAGGCTTCACAGGACTCTAAATACATAACAGACCTGGCTCAGGAAGGGACATCCAATCGGGTCTTGCAGTACATGTTCACAGCATGGAAGACAGGGGACTTCACGTACTTACTGTAAGAAGCACTAGTTGAAATGTCAGAACTGCCACATGATGCTAAAACATATAGCTGTGCTAACATTTTTGTGTGGGCTTATAAGCATGTAGCATGGCATAGCCATGGAGGCTGAAGGGACGCCTACTCCCCAGACTTCTCCCTTGGGTGATCTGGGCATGTTCGGATGGGGCTACCCCCAGTGTTACATTAGTGCTTCCTGCAAGACGACTCAAAAAGGAAGTGCATGGGATTACTAAGGCTAAGAAAATAAGCAAAAACAAAAAAACACAAAGCAGCTCATTGAAGAGCCAAAACTGAAACATACTGAGTGGCACGACATGGGACTCTAGAATCTACAGATAGTCGTAAGGAAATGGTATGCATGTATATGCTTCATATATAAACAGATATGCTTCGTATGAATTAGCAGAACAAAACTACAGGCCTTCTGCGAACTACAGGCTTCAAATGGGCAAGCGATAAACTTGCAATTGCTCCCCCCCCCCCATCGCCTCGATTTACCTGCTATATGTTCCTGTTTAGGGCAAATTCCTCTAGATGACGTTGACAAACAATCATCATCCTCGGGCGTGACCTGGATGCCAACCTCCACCGGATTGGATGCTTTTCTCAGCTCACTCGGAGAGGGCGAAGGGGGCTTATCCACAGCCTTCTCTAGGCAAAGAGTGCCATTGCATTGTTTCCGTTTGTGCTCGATAAAAATAAGGATGTCCCCCAATGGGAAGTTCATCTGACACTGGCCACATGTAAGGAGGTCGTGGTCCCCTTCTGGAGCTCCCAATGTACCATGATCTGGTTCGTCATCGGTGAGAATGGCTTCTAGAGGTTCGGCTACAGTTGGAGAGGACAAAAAAAAACACAGCTTTAATATCTCAGAGAGGAGGGGGGCAAAGGACAATTTCAATATTTCAGGGAGGAGAAGGAAGGAAGAACAGGGGTGGGGGGAGCTATCCCTGAACAAAATAGATCGATGTTTCAAAAAAAAAAAATCAAGGATCTTTGGGAACTACAGTGTCTCACCTTTACCCTAATATGTTGCTGGCTAATCTAACACAAGGGGGTACCCCCTGTATTCGACAGAGAAGCCATACAGGAACAAAAAAGACTTTATTTGTGCTAAAATAAAGGGGTGATTTCAGAAAAAGGGCACTCAACGTACCCCCCCAGTTTCTAAAGTTTTTGCATGCTTTTCTAAAAAAACAGACAAACAAGATTAAGCCAGTCCAGTCCCAACCGCAAGATGGCAAGAGAGCTTCCCCTTTACAGCATGTTGTCATTTCAACAGGAAAACGAATTTATCAGCAGCGCTATCTGAAGGGAAAGTATCTCTAATATGAGTAACTGTTAAAGAAGGGCCCCCCTTTAGAGTCTCTGTGTTAGAGGGTCCAAGCAACTATGCTCTTCTGAGCAAACAAATCAATGCAATAAAAACTCTGGAGGGAAATTAAGTTGTTATTAATACTCTCCAAAGGTCTTCAGAAGAGAGACTAAGAAAGCTACTTCTACAAATCTCTCTTTCTGTTTTATATGTTCTATGGGTTTGTTGGGGGGGGGGATTCATGGCTAGTATGAGATGTTTAGGCACCAAGTATTGTTTAAGGCTGCAGGTATGAGCCAGTGTGTGTATGTGTACATGGCTACAAAAATACAAGTACACATAATCACAAAGCAAAGTAGCTTGCATGCGCTGGCCTGTCAACTGGCAAACAGCACCCAAACAGCTCCGCTGCTTCTTTCAAGGCACATTTGCATGTTCTGTGTCCTACACATATAACCATACACAGAATCTCAACTGCAAAAAAGGCAAACAGAAAAGGAAGATAATGGTAATTCAAGAAAATCTACATATACTGTTGCTTTAAAAAAATCTCTAATTTTCAACTGTGCCACCCAGGAGGAAAAAAAATTATATACGTCTCCAAGTTATTGGCAACTGCTAGCTTAGATTTAAGGAAATATGATACTACCAGAGACATAAGAAAACAATCCAATTAGTGTGAGGTGGACTTCCCCCTCCCCCAAGGAAAGGAATTCCCAATCATTTAAAAACATGTTAGTACCGGTGGTCTTCCTAAGTTTAAAAATCTGTATAAAGCCAATTGAATCTGAGTTTTCGTAACAAGAAGGGGTAAGTCTTTTATTTGGATTTAAAGTACCTTTCTTAATATTGTCAGAGTTGATTAATTTCCTGTAGGAGCTCCAGAAAGCTCCATTAAGAAGCCCGTTTGTGCCCACCTATCACCGGCGGGTAGTTTAACAAGACAGACCTGTACTGGAGTCCCCCCCCCCCCCCGCCCTGTTACTTTATTTTGAATTAATCAGGCAAAAAAGGGGGGACCATAAAGCATTCCGGATTTCACAGAGAGATGACAAAAATCCAGCCTGGCTTGTGCTTCCCCTACAGCTACCACCCAGTCCTCTCACCCACAAACAAACGTGAAATGGCATTCTTGCAAAATATCAAATGCAGCAGTTACAGGAAGCGTGGCAGGAGGACCAACACCTCAACAGTTAATCAGGCTGACCTTCTTTAGCATGCAGCCAATTTCACGTTTAATGAACTTAAAGCCACAGAGAATCAAAAAATAGATTTTAATTTGACTGCACCATATTAGGACAGGTTTTGATAAGGTGCAAAAAAAACCCAGAAAATTTAAGTTAAATTTATTTTCAGCGCTATCTAGGCAGACTATGGGGAGGAGGAGTAGGGGTATAAGAGGGCATCGAGAGCAACTCCCAAACGAGCAGAATGAAATCATATTGAAGTCAGTCTGCACCTCTCGTACCTGGTCTCCAAATAGAACAAATGGCTATAATTTCTGGCCTTCAGAATTACTCCTGATTTAAGGTAAGGTCAACTACAGAAATACAGGAGTTGCATTCTTCTTTATGCTGAAGTCTTCAGCACGTGGAGGCACTCATCTAAGCTCACTGACCATTTACGGTAACACATATGTTAGTTTTTCCGTAAGTGCCAAAGAAAAAGAACAAGTATGAAGGCAATTGCAATTCTTTCTGTCTGGAAGACTGAATATCAGGTTGCATTTCTGACCAAGTGGCAACACAAGGGCAGGTAATCCCAACAGCTCGCTCGCTCTCTCTCTCTCTCTCTCTCTCTCTCTCTCTCTGATATTTTAACTTGGATTATTTTTTCAATGCAAACTTTGGAGCAACAAGATGTCAGAAAAATTTAGCATTTCTCTGTAATAGGAACCCCTGCTTCTCTGGTTAGTTAAACGGCAACATTTTCTTGTTTCTTAGGCCTGATGTGTTCATGAAATGAGTAACATGGTTTAGCACAGCAGACAGTACCTTTTCCAGGCAGTTAAAAGTTCAAGTGATGCTAAACAATAGCCACCAGCATACACAAAACACTAGAAAGAGATTTCTGAAAATCTCTAAATCCAGGATGGGTTCTCAGCAAAATCAGCAGCTCAGAAGCTTTGATTACTCTTTCACATTTCCACCAATTAATTTTATAGGAGACAAAAGTTCTCGAAAATAACAAGATATTCAAACATACACATCTAACCCCCCCCTAATCTTCATCCCCCCCATTCTTAACATAAATGATTGCTAATTAAAAAGAATGATGGAGCAACATTAAAAAAACCCACTTGGCTCGGTAAGGTAAAGAATCAAGGGACAACATTATTCCTGCCGTTATTTTAAACCAGGTGCCTCATAGGGCGATCCAGTTCATATCTGCTGCTCATTTGCCTGCTACATTTTTTTTTAATTCCATAGCCTCAGCCACCCAGATATTTGTGCATTTGATTCTGCTGTTTAAAATTTCCTCTGACAAGAGATCTGCAAGAAAAAATTGATATCTGTAGCTATTCTTTATAAGCGTTAACCTTTAAAAAAAGAAAGAGCACACAGGGGGAGGAGAGTGGGTAAATTCAAAAACAAAGCCTCTCTACTCTGTGCCATGGATTTCACCTCTTTCCAAAGGCTAGGAGATGAAGACGGAAGGAAGTAGAAAAGAGAGGGGAGGAAACACTTTCCAGGTTAGAAAATATATATATTTTCGTATTTGGATTTTTCATCAAGCTTTGCCTGCAAACCATGAAACAAAGCAAAAATCTCCTTTAAAAAAAATGAAAATAAGAAATGACCCAGCAGCAGCCGAATTTCGAGTTTACCTCCACGTGTACCATAGGATTAGTTTAACGGTTAGAAACCACACGTGAAAGCCAAGCTTGGAGGGGAGGGTGTATTTTTAAAACAAACACCGAAAGGGTGGGAAGGAGCATGCAGCATTTAGGTGAATGGAAACGAACTTGGGAAGAAGCACAATGGCGAGGGAGAAAAGCCCAAGGAAGGGGAACCTTCAGGGGCAAACACGTGCAGGCCAAGCCGGGATGTTTCCTCGCCTGTCGGCTCAGGCCAGCCACTCTCTTTTCAAAGTACCCTTTTTTAGAAAAATGAAATTATTTTTTTTTAAAAAAAACAACAACAACTATCTGATTTCAAATAAGGCTGGAAGAAGCAGGGGAAGCCACCCAAACAAAAGCAGATGCTTTTCAAGTCAAGCCAAAGAAATGAGAAGTCACTGGAAAGAAATTCACACCCTTGGCTCTTTGCAGTCGCAAGCTTCGTCTTCCATGGTGCAACTCCTTAGCAACGCCAGGGTGGGTGGCTGTGTATATATTTAAATGTATATGCATATACATTTAAAAAAAAAAAAGAATTCAGGTAACATCTCAGCCCTTTTTATTGTCTCTGGCTCATCTCTGCACTAAAGAACCTAGGGATGTTCTCCTTTGAGAAGGGGCAAAACTGAATGCCAAGTTGTTAGCACTCCTGATCAACCCAGAAGTCTTTTTCTGCTGTTTCTTTCCAGTGGAGGGCCACTGGGACTGGGTATCACAGCAACTGAGAATCTGAAAGGAGGGCCAGGGAAGGTGTCATTTCTAAGCACTGGATGCTTTTGCTTCTTTCCCCCAGCATCAACACAACAAGATAAAATTAAGAACAAAGGGGGGGAGTGAAATTACTTGGACTGAGAAGGAGGGGGGGAACCTCCACATGCTCACAAACACCGCCCCCACCCCTCCAACGAAAAACGTAGAGAAACTGAAGCACAGAAGGGAAACTGATCAAGTGCAAGTTCGTGGCGCTTTTTTGATCTGACTCTGCCTCCTAGCGGCCAAAACTGGCATTTTTAAGGCGGGAGAAACTGTTTTAACCCAACTCTCCTATAGATTTCCCACCCCTCCATTCTTTTCTTTCACGGTTGGAAGGGGGGGGGGCATTAACAACTTGCATAGCATCTGTACTGACTGGCCTAACAAAGCTTTCCGCTGAAATGTTTAAAAAGAAACGCATGGTTATGTATGTATACTGTGTGTGTTGTTTTTTTTAAATTCTTCGATGTCCAAGAATATATTTTTTGGGGGGGGGGAATCGGGGGTACCGGCAACCTAACAGTCCTATTAGAAGGAGGGTTAACGTCTTCAAAAGAGTCACTGCACTTTTCTCTGCCCCCCACCCCCCTTTCTACAAAGATGGCACGTTTGGGATAAAAGTCAAATTAGGTTTATCAGTTTGGCCGAAGGGAGGAAGGCAGAATAGTTGTTGCAACGTGTTTGGACGGTGATAGGACGTTCGAAGTGTGACAGTTATGTTGCAATAGACAACACAACTCTCTCTACACACAGGCGCACACACACACACACTCGTAAGAAATTAACGGAAAGGAAGGGGGGAAGATAACATACTCAGAAGGCTGTTTAAAAAACAACAACACCACTTTCCCCCCTCGCATTGTGTTGGGGATTAAAACCTGCTATTAGGGGTGGTTTCAATTAAAAGACTGTGTTGGAGCACCGGCATCAGTGTACATTGCAATGCAGGCAGGGG